TCAGGTTCCCACATCAGCCGGACTTGGGGGATGTGTACTTCACGGTTGAAAAGAAGCCTAAACCCTGCAAAACGCCTCCCTGCAACTCTCTTTACCTACCGTTTGGCAGCCTGTAATTACCGCTTGATGAGTAGGCAGAGACTCCAAAACCCTTTAACTCAGGAATATACCTTAAATCTTATTGGGGTTCCCATTATGATTTAAGGTATATTCCTTAATTAAGGGGTTTTGGCTGAGTAGGCGGAACCCACGAAACTGTAGGCAATTAGAGTCCCAGGTCTGTGGTGGCAGGACACGTCTTTGCTTTTTTGGCTCTACTTTTGCCAAATGCGCTCATCGGTGTCATCCTCTGCGGTGCGACCGGACGACGCTTCTCCTCAACCCTAAACCCTAAACCCTACGTGGACCATTGGAGGTTCATGGGTAGCTATAAGTGGGGGTTATAAGTAGGGTAATTACAATTAGAACCCATATTAGGGGACTTGTAACCCTACTTATAGCTACCCATGAACCTCCAAGTAAACCCTAAAGCCCTAAAGCCCGCAACCCTAAACCCTAAAGCCCTAAACCCTACACCCTAAAGCCCTAAACCCTACACCCTAAAGCCCTAAACCTAAACCCTAAACCCTAAACCCTAAAGCCCTAAACCCTACACCCTACAGCCCTAAACCCTAAACCCTAAAGCCCTAAACCACACCTCGGGATCCCAACGAAAGGGGACGCTGGGCGCTCCGGCAAGGCCCCGAGGCCCTACACACGGCTTTGGGAGCTTGCCACTGCAAGCCCTAAAGTTCAGGGCGTGGGGCAAACCCCTACATCTTCGGATGCCGGATTTCGGCTTTACGGTGAAGGGGTTTAGAGGAGTTTAGAAGTTTGAATACAGGTTGAGGGTACTTTATTTTGGCCTTGGTCCAGAACTCACTTCCTCTAAACTCTTGGAATCATTAAAGGAAACAACAGGTGGGGAGTTTAGGGTATATAGGGCTTCTATAAGGTATATAGACCTTCTATAAAGCTCCTATAACGGTAACTACCCACCTGAAAATGTCCTAGAAATCATGCTAAAAGGAACAACTGTGGTCCATCCGCTTGTCTCCTTGTAACCCTGGACCCTAGACCGTGGGTGTTGAGGATTGGCCGCTTTTCAGGGGTAGAACTACAACTTCAGGAGCCGACGGTAGGAGCCCGAAACAAGCCTGCAGCAGGTGGGACTTCCTCAAAAACACATGCCACTGGGGCCATGTTCCCAGAGACTCCAAAACCCTTTGATTAAGGAATATACCTTAAATTATAATGGGAACCCTAATAAGATTTAAAGCATATTCCTTGATTAAGGGATATTGGAGTCTCTGTCTTGGAGCTTGGGCTTCACGTCTTTTGAGTCCTCATTGTGAAGCTCCTACTATTTCACAATTGTTTCGAAAATCTACCGAAAATTGTTTTCTACCGAAGGCAGCACTTGTATGCTTGCAGAACCAACAGTTACGCAGGGTTTTGCACACCATGCGTCATACAAAGATTGGCCCTGGGCTGAAGCTCGTTCAAGTCCGCCGAACCTTATACGGTTTAGGGTTTAGGGTTTAGGGTTTAGGGTTTATCCTTATTGCAAGGCTCCTACTGTGTCACGATTCCCTGGGCCAACTTTGTCGAAAACTTCCGAAAATGTCTCTCATACTAAAGAGGCACTTGTTTGTTCTCAAATCAGAACAAACAGGCCTTCATCCCTCACGCAGGGTTTTGCACACCGTGCGTCCTAACAATATACCAGGAGCCTGAAAAAATTAGTGCCGAGGCCATACTAAAGCATAACCACACAGGATTATATAGTGGGATAGTATTCCTAGCCACTCCTAAAAAAACTACATTAAACCCTCCTGTAGAACCCTTCTTAAACCCTTACAGGCACCTGTAAAGGAACCCTAAACCCTAAACCCGCTCTCCAAAACCCCCAAGTTCAAAATAAAACCGTAGATACATGTATATACATGTGTTTGTGTACATATATATATATATATATTAATATATATATATATATACTTATTTCTTTATGTATTTATTAATTTAATGTATGTAGGTATGTATGTAGGTATACTAGCCCCGCCCCAAACCCTAAACCCTAAGCCCGAAACCAAAACCCCTTAAAGGGGATCCCTGATCCTCCAGGCCCGTATACAGTACCGTCTGCACGAACCGTCTTCGGCTCGGGCTTAAGGTTTAGGATTTAGGGTTTGGGGCTTAGGAACCCCATCATACAAGCATACTACCCTTGATCATGAATCATTCAGGCCCCTACAGTATGCAGATGGGTAGCTCTCTAAGTTAGGGCCCCCTTTTAGGTCCCCAATAGTGTACGGCACTCTTATAAAAAAAAAGACCCTAACCAATATAACAGAGCAGGGATTCAAGGGAGCCTACGGGAAAGGAGAGACAAAGCTAGTGCCGGAAGCCCCTCCCGATTAGGAGAGAAATCGCTGGCACCCTAAGTCAGAAAACTACCCATTAGGGTCCCCTTGTAGGTCTTCAATATAGTACGGCACTCTGATAAAAAGGACCCTAAAAGGGACCCTAAGTTAGAAAACCACCCAGATCGGCTGGTCGGCCCGGGGTCAGGTGAAACCTGTTTCCTCGGAGCCGCGCTGGGCAAAAATGCAGCAGGAAAGTTGAATATGGGGGGCCTGAATAAGTAGAATAGGATTTTTGGATATATTCTACTACCGCTTATAATTAAAGACCCAATGAAGCAATACCACGAAATATTTACGCCCCGATGCCAGACAAAGGGAAAGGACTGCAGGCAGTACGACTCTGCATACTGCCCGCGAGTGAAGAATCAAAGGGTTCACGTTGACTCTGCGCTCTGCCAGTGGGCTAGGGTTTAGGGCTTGGGCTTAAGGGTGTAGGGTTTAGGGTCTAGGCAGGGCGTTCAAAGAAGGCACCAAGACAAACGTGAAACCATTGGGAAAAAGGTTGCCATGATTGGGCACCAAGACCTAGATGCTAACTTGCTCCCCAACCCTAAACCCTAAACCCTAAACCCTTGCTCCTTTCAGCAGCTGGCGCCCCTCTTACTCGCTGCTGCTGCTGCTGCTTCAGATCGGCACCCGAACAAGCCTTAGTTGTCCGTTGCGCTGGCTTGAGACGCTGACCCAGGCATTTAGGGTTTAGGGTTTAGGGTTTGGGGTTTAGGGTTTAGGGTTTAGGCATTTCGGACTTCACACAAAAACCCCAAGGCCTAAGCCCCAATTCTTGGATCAAAGCTTAGGACGTAGGGTTAATGGACCGGTTTACACCAAAACAAGTCTAGGGCGTAGGGTCTAATGGGTTGCGTATGAGTATGTGAAGCTTGCAAAGCCAACTACCAAGAAGAATAAACCCTGACCCTAAGCCCTAAACCTAGACCTAAACCCTGAACCCTAAACCCTAAACTCTGAAACCCTAAACCCTAAACCCTGACCCTGAACCCTGAACCCTAAACTCTAAACCACAAACCCCATGCCCTAAACCCTGAACCCTAAACCCTAAACCCTAAAGCCTAAACCCTAAACCCTGAACCCTGAACCCTGAACCCTCTGAACCCTGAACCCCACACCCTGCCAAGAAGCACAGACCCGCAGCCCTAACCCTACCAGGAACCCTAAGCCCTAACCTTAGCCCAAAACCCGACCCTAAGCCCTAAACCCTACACTACACAGGAACCCCAAAATCAAAACCCAAAGCCCTAAACCCTACCAAGAAGCCAAAAACTCCGACCGTCGCAGGAAGCAGAAGTGCGGCAAAGACGAGCACGTTGGGCACAAGTCCATGCTCTTCAGGCCTCAGTTCGTTTTTTTTTTGGGGGGGGTGGGTTTCGGGGTTTTGGGTTTCGGGGTTTACGGTTTAGGGTTTTGGGTTTAGGGTTTCGAGGCGTAGAGTTTAAGGCCTAAGGTTTCGGGCTTAAGGTTTAGGGTTTAGGGTTGGTGTCAAGTTCCCGGTGGCCAAACCCTTGCACCATGCTTGGTGTGCTGTACACAAGGTCATGCAGCACACCCAACCCTAAACCCTAAACCCTAGACTCGAAACCCTAAACCCTAAACCTTAAACCCTAGACCCTAAACCCTAAACCCTAAACTCTAAACCCTGAACCCTAACCCTAAACCCTAAACCCTGAAGGCCCATGAGACCTTCCTTCTTGGGGTTCCCTGCCATGACTTCCTTGTACTGAAATGCCTAAAGGTAGCCTATGTGAGGTCCAGCCTAAACCCGAAACAAGCCCTAAACTCTAACCCTCAACCCTAAACCCTAAAGCCTAACCCTAAATCCTAAACTCTCAAGCCTGGTTTCCTAGTCTTCCTACTGCAACAGATGCAACTATGTCCGAAGGCCGACTTCCTGCTGATCTTCCTTAAGAGCCCCTCCTTTACATTAAAGGGTTCCTTAAGGGGTTTAGGGTTACTAAGGGATAATAGGGTTTAGGGTTAGGGTCACCAGGGCTCCTTAAAGGGCTCTATGAGGGGTCTACAAAGGGGGAGGGGCGGTTACGGTTGCTTGAAGGCTCGTGGGACTTATTTAGTAGCTGGGGTTACGTAACGGGTAGCTCAAAGGGCTACTATAAGGGTTCTATAAGGGTTGTTGGAGGTCTACATGAAGGATCATGGGACTTCATAACGATGGTTATCAAGGAGGTCACGGTAACTATATGTATAATTACTCACTTATGGCCGTCCCATGATCCTACAAGTAAGGGTCCATGTACCCATATAGTATAATATACTTCCTCAAGAGGTACTAGCTGATAATGACGACTACAGACTTCCGGGTGACTTAGGGTTTAGGCTTCGGGATTCGAGTTTTGGTGGAGAGTTTAAGGTCTTGGGTTTTTGGGTGTTTTGGGCTCAGGTTTTTAAGGCCTAGGGCTTTCGGGTGCGTGACTGGCAGTATGTCTGCTTATTGCCTTTGCATGCCTACTATTCCGAATGTCACATCGCAGGATAGAAAAACGTCTCACCGAAGAGCCGAGCGGCTTTATAGGGAAGTCAATGATGGAGCACAGATGCTCAAGCTGCTGTGCTGCAACTACCACCATGACACTGCCCAGCAGCGGCGGCAGATTGAGAAGAAAGTCAGCGGAAGTGCAGCTGCATTTGTGCCGGAATACGTAACATAGCCTTGTTCCAGTTAGCAGTGCCATGGGGGCAACCCCCAACCACCATGCCACGGCCCTGATCACTTCTCGGCTGGCCTCCATAATCGGGTCGAACGTGGTGAACCTGTACCAGGGCATTCAAGGTACCCAGAGACTCCAAAACCCCTTGATTAAGGAATATACCTTAAATTTTATTAGGGTTCCTACTATCATTTAAGGTATATTCCTTAATTAAAGGGTTTGGGAGTCTCTGGGTAGCAGGGTGTCCCCAAAACCTAAACCCTAAACCCTAAACCCTAAACCCCAAACCCTAAACCCTAAACTTAAACCCCAACCCCTAAACCCTAAACCCTAAACCCTGGACCCCTAAACCCTAAACCCAAAGCCCTGAGCCCGGAAAGCTGAGTCTTTAAGTACGCAGCGGTGAGCCTGTACCAAGCAGCAGCTTTGCTTAGGAATAGCCAGAGGACCTGGTTTAGGTTTTGGGGATTAGGCCTGTAGGTATTCGGGTTGACGGCATAGGATTTTAGTGTTTAGGGCATGGGTCCTATGGGGTTTTAGGGTTGAGGGCTGAGGATATGCTTTGTTGTCTTTTCTCCGAACTCTCTGAGACTACTGTTGACGGTATAAATCCTGCATTACCTTAAGGACCCTAAACTATGGGAATTACGGTATATTCCTTATTATGGGTCATGCAGGATTTCTATCATCAACCGTAGAACCCTAAACCCCTAAACCCCTAAACCAATAGACCCTAAACCCTTATAGAACCCTATAGAACCCTATAAAGCCCTATAAAACCCTAACATGGTACCCTAAACCCTAAACCCTAAAACCCTACACCCCTAAACCCCTAAACTAAGGAGACTAAGGCTGCAAACGAGTCTTCCAAAAAATTGCCAGAGGACCGGAACCATGGCTGACACGGCCTGACGGTACGTGAAGAACTGCTTCGCATGCTCCGAGAGCCTTGGGTTCTCTTGCGAGACCCACTAAGGCTTAGAATTCTAGGGTTTAGGGTTTAGGGATTAGGGTTTAGGGTTTAGGGTAACCCCTCAACTCCAAACCCTAAACCCGACCTCTAATCCTTGAAGATACCGCCAGGCAGCAGTACTGCACGCACTTCCGTTTGGACGTATTCCTCGAACTGCTCCCGAGTTCCCCACCAGCTGGTGATGCACCTGGGGGTTCTTAAACAATGCTCCTTAAAGGATTCTAGGGTTTTAGGGTTTAGGGTTTAGGATTTAGGGTTTAGGGTTTAGGGTTTAGGGCTGTTAAAGTTTCCGGCGCGGGATGTGGACCCACCCATAAGAGAGATGATGTAAGACACGTCGTTCGGGACAGGGGCAGAGCGCACTGCAACTTGAAAGATGATGAACACACATCGTTCAGGGACAGGGTTTGGGATTTAGGATTTAGGGCTTATAGGGGTTAAGGGTTTAGGGTTTAATTAGGATTTAGGGTTTAGGGTTTATGGGGGTTTAAGGGTTTAGGGTATAGGGCCTGTACACCCCAAGTTGAAAAGTATGTGATTCACGTCGTTCGCTACCGGGAACTTCGCGCATACCAACTGGAACTGCGCATCACGTTCTTGACAGGGAGCCGCACATATACCAACTTGAACGATGATGTAACAAGTTCATGACAGGTGGGGGCGGGCACACCTTCAAAGAGCATGCAACACACCAACTTAACAGATGGTTGTGACACACGACGTTCGTGGGCTGCTCCTCTTCTTCGCCTCGGAAATGCTATGTTCTGAACCCCGTACAGGGAAGATCTTGTTCTGAATCAGTTTTGAACCCCGGAATGTGGTGGTTGTGTGTTTTTGCGCGATCTTTCTCTCAGACCCCGAAAGGTCTTGTAGTTGAACACAACCCTAAACCCTAAGCCCTAAACCCTAAACCCTAAACCCAAAACCCAACGGATATATTGTTTATACCGTCGAATGCTTTTCGGCTCTCATCAGGATCCTAGTATTTCCGGATCTACACCAAGCTTTCCTCAATTTCTCCCTAACCCTAGATGAGCGACTAAATCCTGAACCCTATTCGTCCAGTATCCTGGGGAATTAAAGGTTAACCTTTGGGAGCATGTTGGGAATATTTAGGGATGGTGGGGTACCCCCAAAAAAGTTCAAGGTTACCGAACCCTAAACCCCAAATCGGCACTTGTTGGTAATCTGGCGGTCGCATAGTCCACAGCTCGCTTGATGGTTATCGTCGCAGCCTTGCTTCCCCAATCTCCCCTTTGATACTCCGGGTACCAATTTTTTCCCGGTTGTCAGTTGTAATAAGGGAACCCTAAAACAAAAATGGCAAAAGAGGTAGCACTGGGGGAACCTAGCAGCAAGAGCTCTTGACGCTAGCCAGAGAAAACCTGGCGAGCTTTTCTCCGTCAGCCTCCATGGAACGAAAGCAGCCCCTGTATATCCTGAACTGTTCTCACTGGGGGCCCTGTAGAAATCATAGTCTTCGCTGCTTCACAAAATGACATCATACCAAAAGCTGAAACAAAAACAAAAAAACATGCTGAAGGACGGCCTAGAATCGCCATGTTGGCATAGAACGTTGCACCGAAAATCAGGGCATTCACCGCTTGCAACGCCCACATGAAGCCTCCGTCTCCGCTCAGAGGAACGAAATCGCTCACGATCGTCACCTAGGCTGGCCCATTAAAGGCGTTTGAAACCACATTCATGAAGAGGACCCTCTGAAAAACCCAATAGTGGAACATAATGGCATATTTGAGTGGTAGGGGCCCTTTAGAGGAAACTACAAGTGGGGAGTTTAGGGTAAATAGGGCTTCTATAAGGCTTCTAGAAGGTATATAGACCTTCTATAAGGCTCCTAGAACGGGAACTACCCACCTGAAAATGTCCTAGGGTTCTCCATAGAACCTGTTTACCGAAACGTTCTGTCGAATTCCTGGAGGGTCCCTGTTCAAGTCCAGTCACAAGCAAGACCGTGGCGGCTTGGGAGATGTGGCCTGGAAATTGAAGTAAGCAGGGAGAAAACAGTGTAGACTTTGACTTCATACTGGTTCCTTCCAGGAACAGGCCCCAAAAACAAAGCATTCAAGTATGGTACTCCCTAGACCCTAGACCTCAATCCCTAAACCCTAAACCCTAATCCCTAAACCCTCAACCCTAAACTTAAAGCCTAACCCCTAAAGCCTAAACCCTAAACCCCAAATCCCTAAACCAAAAATCCAGAACCTAGTGACAGATGGTCAGCTCCGTGGGGCGAATGAGAAGCTTGGGCTTCGAACCCTCAGAGCGGCTTCTGGCAAAAGCCGCAATCTCGAACATGCACCACAGTCCTCGTTTCGGGCTTCGGGTGTAGTCTTTAGGCTTTAGGGTTTAGGGTTTAGGGATTTTGGAGTTTAGGGTTTAGGTTTTTAGGGTTTTGGGTTTTGGGTTTCGGGTTTCAGCTTAGGGTTTAGAGTTTAGTTCCTTGAGTTTCTTGTATCCTGTGGGTTACATAGAGAGAGCGGTTAGACACCATGAAAGCGCCGCCAGGTGCTGTAGGCTTTGGGGTCTTTGAACTTGCGGCTTCGAGCTTAGCGCGGCGAATGGGCAACTTATTTCTCAGGCTTCTTGAGCTTGACAAGTAAGCTTAGACCCCAAAGCCCTAAAGCACTCAAGCCCTCAAGCCCTAAACCCTAAAGCCCTAAAGCCCTAAACCCTAAGCCCTGAGCCCTAAACCTTAAACCAGCATGAACGTGCGAACATGCACGCAACATAGAAAAAGGCTCGATCGCAGAAAGTTGCATCCCAAAGAACCAGCATGGAGTCGGAGCTCTTCAGAAAGGCACCTGGGGCAAGCACTGGCTTCATAGAGGCTTCTTCGGAATCGGAATACGATTTAGTTCTAAGTTCTTAAGATCGTCACTTGAAGTATGTGGGTACCCATAGAGTCCAATACACCTTAGTTAAGGCTTCAAACAACTATTCTAGGGCTGATAAGGGTTAAAACAGGCTGTCTTCCAAATATTAAAAGGGTCCTTGGCTTCCCATAATTAGGGTTTCGGGACTCGGGTCGAGGGCTTCGGCTTCCTGGTTTGGGGTTTAGGGTTCAGGGTTTAGGGTTTAGGGTTTCGGGCCCTAGACCCGAACCCTGAACTTTAGGGTTTAGGGTTTAGGGTAGGGGGCTTACTATGAAAAACCTCGCAACCCTATAGCCTATTCCGGCAGAGAGAGGCTCCAGTGTGAGGGCGTCGGGTGTAGAGTCTGCGGATTGTTAAATCGATTGATGGGGGGTTGAGGGTTGGTTAGGGTTCTAGAGGTTTCGGGGTTTAGGCTCTAGGGGTTTAGGGTTTCGGGTAGGGTGTTTACCCATGAAATACCTCGCAACCCTATAGCCTATTCCGGCAGAGAGAGGCTCCAGTGTGAGGGCGTCGGGTGTGGAGTCTGGGGATTGCAAAACTGATGAATGGGGGTTTAGGGTTTAGGGTTTGGGGTTTGGGGGTTAGGGCTCTGGGGCTTTAGGGTTGAGGGTTTAGGGTTTAGGGTTTAGGATTTGGGGTTTCGGGTAAGGGAAAGCAGACTCTTGTCTGCAATTCCTGGTTTGGTCACTGAACGGCAATTCCGTGAAGCCCTGATAAAACACGATTCAAGCTGCAAAGCCCGTCAAAGAATGTGACTGGCTAGATGTCCATGCTACTTGGAGGTTCATGGGTAGTTATAAGTAGGGTAACTATGATTATAACCCATTTGGGGGGGCTTAGAACTACCCATGAACCTCCATGCTAGGGCAGCTCAGAGCCCAGAACGCCCCGCAACAACCTTAGAAACCTATGGAACCCTCACACAATCCCTTAAGATCCCTTATACAAATCCTGTAAACACCACGAAAGCCCACGCTTGAGCTGGCAAAGACAACCCTGAAAACCCCAAATACCCAAAGACCCCGCCAAAACCCAAGGCACCGATGCTCAGGATGCCTTTTGCTTTCTCCGTCTGGTCCTGCTGATCTATGCATATCACCCTGGCTGACTACCAGACCTAAACCCTAAACCCTAAGCCCTAAGCCCTAAACCCCTAAACCCTAAAACCCTAAACCAATAAACCCCTAAGACCCTAAACCCTAAACCCTCAACTCAAAGGATCAGGGGCCTTAGCGTCACATGGAGGTCTAAGTAACAACATGTTGGTAGCTCTCTAACTTAGGGGCCCTTTTTATAAGGGTGCCGCTCTTTAACTTAGGGGCCCTTTTTATAAGGGTGCCGTACTATTTCGGGAACCTACAAGGGACCCTGATGTAGAGAAGTACCCATATAGTAACTACAGCCATAATTACAACCCCAGGAAAGGTGCTGATAGCACTGCCTACTAAAGCGACTGACTCAAGGGCTTCAAGGGGGTTTAGGGCTTTGGGGCTTGAGGAGTTTATCGCCTTTGGGCTCTAGGGCGTTCAGGATTATATGGCTTCAGGGGGCTGAGGACTACCGGGTGTTTTTGCTTTGGGGCTTTAGGGTTAGGGTTTGAGGCATCTTTTTTCTGCTTTAGGATTTTTCTGGGCTGTGGGCAGATGTGGACTTCTGACCCTTTATATAAAAGCCACGCGTTTCGCTCAAGAACCGAGAAGATACCGCAAGCCAAGGTCCCGCGAGCCAGGGAGACGAAACTACAGGTGGGGAGTTTAGGGTACATAGGGCTTCTATAACGGTAACCACCTGAAAATGTCCTAGAGCCAAGGCGAAGACAGCCCTAACTCCTGCACCCCAAATCCTGAAAGAATCCTGCTGAACTCTGAAGCCCTGAGGGGAACGGCTAGAAGAACCCTGCAAGAAGCCCTTTCTAAGGGTTCCTTTACAGGTTCCTTTCCTGTAAGGGGTTCTTTTTAAGGGCTCCCTTGAAGCCTAAACCCTAAACCCTGAACCACTAAGCCCTAAACCCAAAACCCTAAACACTAAACCCTGAATGCCGAGGCACGTCAAGGAAGACGGGGTCCGAGCGCCGCCCAAACAAGAGTACGATGCAGTGCCTCGGTGCTGGATTTTGGGTTTGGGGTTTAGGGGTTTAGGGGTTTAGGGGTTTAGGGGTTTAGGGGTTTAGGGGTTTTAGGGTTTAGGGGCTTAGGGGCTTAGGGGCTCAGGGNNGGTTTAGGGTTTAGGGTTCTTCCCTCTACCCTCGACCCTACCACCCCCCAAAACCCAGAAAGGCCCCGTTATGCATGTAAGCACGACGGGTTTTGTAGGCCTTTGGAAAGTCTCTGCATAGGTTCCTTGTTTCTGGGGTCATTCTGGTGGGTTTGATACTGGGTTCCCCCCGTATCCCTTTATGCAAGGGTGCCCTTTCCCCACTACTCAGTCTGAAAAGGGAACTAAACCCTAAACCCTA